ACGCGCACAGCAATTTGAATGAACGCAAACAAACGGCACATAATTAAGAAAATGACGACCAGATGAAAGCTGTTGCGATGAAATGAACGAATAGACTGAACTCGATTCGAGTCACTCATAACTCGATATTGCTTCGTAAACAGCGCATGCAAGCAGAGATTTATTTTTTACTTTGAAAAGATTTCACGCAAAATGAACACAAGGTGGATAAGATGATAATATTTGTCAAAGTGGATCTCTCTCTTTTTTGCAAATAAAGAGTTAAATAATTAGACGAGGAAAAAATGGCGCTGTAATTTTGTTAACATTCTATCAACTAGAATAACTGCTTGAAAGGATCGCATCTTACATTTCTCAATTCAAATTTGCCTTCAGATAACAAATTCACGATATTGGTTAAGACAAGACAAGACAAGATACGATGAGAAGGATAACGAAATAAAAACAATCCCAAATAATCACCACTCACTCACCTCTGCACAGTAAACGTTCGGCATTTTACTTCTGCGATTTCGCCACTTGATGGCGCATTCGGAGAGACGTTCTTTGCACTATCTTAAAGTAAACCTTGAAAATAAATTTGACATTTGAAATATACCCACAACTTCTGCTTCAGAACATCAGCGAGACCATTCAAAGAAAAAGTCAATATAAATTGTTCGAAAATATATCAGAGTATTAATACAACTCAGAAAATGAATCGAATCAATGCATGTGATTTCACGAAAATTTGATATACGGGTCAGTAGAAAGCAACTGAGAAGTAAAAACTGAACTGACCGGCGCTGACGTGATACTTACGGAGATGAGACTCGTAATCGCGGTCAGACACACCTTCCAACGGTAATGTCTGACATACACCATTTGGTCCATAACTGAAAATATTCACCAATATTTACCGAACTGAAACCATTCAAAACACGATGGGATATTCTCATACTATTGTAAAACTGACGAAGTGAGTATTAAAATTTAGTGGGAGCTGAACGGTCTTGATGATAGCCGAAGTTTGAGTACCCAATGGGAAATTGGTACATCGCAAGTTCGAATCCCGCTTGCTGTGGGAAGTTTTTGTCGGAACCGAATAGTGTTCAATATCACTAATGTTATG